ACTTGTACCGTTCCTTATTTGTTTCCTTTCATTTTATGGTTTACGTTAATCTTCTCTGAATTATAAACAAAATTATAGTTATGATAGAGTTAAACAAAACTATATAAAATATAACCAATCCTGATACTAAACCCTTCAATTAGAAATGTTTAGCCATTTAAATTCAACAGATTGGTAACCATTTGACTTACTGTATTTGGATTTGTTAAATTTCTTGCATCTGTTAACCAGCTGCTCAGGTGGTTATAAGTGCTTCTTCTGCAAAATGTTTAAATAATCAGAATATGAAAAAGTACAAAGATGACAAAAAATGTGATCATAATAAAAAAAATTATATTAATTTCATTTTAAAAAAATTATTGCAAAAAGAAGTTTGCCCTAAGAGTTAAGTTTTTTAAAATTTTTTCTCTAAAATTTATTTTTTTGACATAGGTCCTAGTTTCCAGCTAGCAAACTTCAGAAACAAGTTGATGGACTGAAAAAAAAAAATCATGCATATTTCATGAGATGTAAGTATGCTTAATTTAAAGCCCCTCCCCAAAAAAGTAGAATGCACGGTGTGAACAGTTAACAGATATAGAAAGAACAACTAAATTTTACAGTACTACATTACTAAGTAATTACTCAAACAGCAAGCAGAAGAGAAAGAACCTAGAAATGTTACTACTACAAGACAGAGTAATCGGTCGTTTGTTGCTCACCTGGTAATGTCATAAACCATTAGTGCTCCTGCAGCCCCCCTGTAATAACTTCTAGTCACTGCTCGAAATCGTTCCTGGCCAGCGGTATCCCAGATCTGAAGTTTGATCTTCTGTCCACAAACCTCAATTATTCGGGTCCCAAATTCTACCCCAATGGTATGTGGACAGTCTGCCATGACTGAAAAACAGAAGTATTTATTGAATGTAAAAACTTTGGCCCAAACAACTTAGACTGTTCTTTGATAGGTCAGTTTCCAGGAACACTGAAGGTGAACCATTCACAAACTACACATCACAAAACTGCTAATGATGTTTCTTAAATGTTGCTACACAAATATTATATATACATGTTACTTATACATGTTACATAACACACCTTATATAACAAAAATCTTTTAAAATGTGGACAACACTATCATACCAATTTCTACTATGTTACACTACTCATATTATATATGTGTGTGTGTGTGTCTGTTCAATTTGTTTATTCAAGGATACATTAACTGTAGCCACAACATAATTTAACAACTGTATATAATGTGCATGCAAAATACAAGCTAAGCCTTCCACTGGTAGTCGTTACAGCTCACCTCAGAAAACTAATTCATACTCAAAAACAACAAAATAAGTAAAGTGTAAAATTTTCTATATGTTACAATAAAGATAGGTTTATCCCAAGATAAGGTGTGCAGGACCTACTTGTATCAGCTATCTCTTGACAAGTCCGAAATTACCTTTTAAAATAAAACACAGTGAAAAGGTTCTTGTTTGAGAAAAGTTCTATATTAATGACTATTTAAACTGGCCAAACTGAAAGGAAAATCAGTGCTGGAACATTACACTGAAAACAAAGTCTTAAGTAAATCTGAGAAAAATAAGCAAACCATACTAAGGCCTTCAATCTAGTTTGAGGTATCTCTGTAAACTTGTTAAAAAAACAAAATTAATCTTCCTTTTGATAAACTAAAAAATCCGAAATGCATACAGCTGTATGGATACCCAAATTAAGGTCAGTTCATGTCAGGAGATGACCAACAATGAATCATCCAAACAAAACTAACTGTTTAAAATTTGCTTCAGTTCAGACTAGATGAGTAGATACTACCAATAAACAAGAAAACTACAGTGAAAACATTTACATTCAACATGAAAAGATGAATTTCATGATACAAAATATTACAAGTACATTTCAAAAACCACACATCTAGAATGAGATAGGAATTTGAATTTATGAATCATAATATTCTACTGTTGTGTGTGTGTGTGTGTGTGTGTGTGTGTGTGTGTGTGTGTGTTTTGACACAACTGTAATGTGTGCTAGATACTGTTTTTTGTTTAATGCAAAATCAGTATATCCAACACTAACTTGTTGTTTCCCAAAATGTTTAATAGATAGAAATAGTTTTGATTTGTTTTTTCAAGATGTTGATAACATCATCTTGTATCAAATTTCAACATTAAAATCTTAAAGACACTACTAAGTTATTGTACAAGGCTAAATCAACAATTACTATGCAGGCCATAATCTACTTCTTGTATCAACTGCCATACAATAGTACAGTTTGGGATCAGAATATAATTTTTACTACACTTAGCTGGTTTTTTTCCAAGAATTATTTTAAAACAGTGGAGAAGAAACTTCAAACTGAGGTAAATCTACTTTACAATTTCTGAAGAAAACAGAAGTCAACTTGTCTAAGAAAACTGGGAAAACTTACACTTTTTCTCTGTAAACTGATGCAAGAGACACGACTTTCCGACTCCCATGTCTCCTATGATGATGTACTTGAAAATATATGAATAATTATAAGGGCCTGTGGTCATCATTACGTTCTTCAATTAGACACAGACCTATAAGAAAAACAAAACAAATCATAAATACATTCTTCATAAAATCTATGAGATCTAAAAAAATCAAGTCACATTTGTAGTTAGAAATACTCACCTGCTTATGAAAAACTAAATATAAGCATTGCATCAATGACAGATAGTATAAATCAAATAATCATTGATGCCTGTTGGTGAAAAACCTATCATTTCTAATTTCATATATATATTAACGTACAAACAAATTAATGTAATTTGTACTTTTTAGTTACATTTTGAAGGACTATTCACAAATCAACATGTTGCTGTACTGTTAATTTTAAGGACTATACAAAAAACAACGCTGTGGTGTACTATTATTTTAAAGACTACATAAAACAACGTTGTGGTGTACTATTATTTTAAAGACTATACATAAAACAATGTGGTGTACTATTATTTTAAAGACTATACATAAAACAACATTGTGGTGTACTATTATTTTTAAGGACTATACATAAAACAACGTTGTGGCGTACTATTATTTTAAGGACTACACATAAAACAATGTTGTGGCATACTATTATTTTTAAGGACTACACATAAAACAACGTTGTGGCATACTATTATTTTTAAGGACTACACATAAAACAACGTTGTGGCATACTATTATTTTTAAGGACTACACATAAAACAACGTTGTGGCGTACTATTATTTTTAAGGACTACACATAAAACAATGTTGTGGCGTACTATTATTTTTAAGGACTACACATAAAACAACGTTGTGGCATACTATTATTTTTAAGGACTACACATAAAACAACGTTGTGGCGTACTATTATTTTTAAGGACTACACATAAAACAACGTTGTGGCGTACTATTATTTTTAAGGACTACACATAAAAC